ATACTCAAGATAACTTCAGTAAAAGTCAAATGCCAATCCTACGTTTGTGGTTATTTCTCCACAAGACTTCTACAGAAGGGTTTCTAAACTAATCTCTACATTTTTAAAATTCCAAATGTAAAGTGCAAACCCCAAAGATTTCACATTCAACTTCTTGGACTTTTAAAAAACAGATGGTAATCAAAACTTCTTTGGGAACACTAGGAATCTTAGTCTGCAATAAGACAAAACAGAAGTCTTTGAAAGAAGAGGTATCACTTGCATTTAAAAAAATCAGTGTTTAATAAAGCAAAAAGAAACCTTCATTCTGCCACTGAAAGATAAATCTTCAGAGACACTTACAGGGTTTGCTTTCCTTCTACTAATAAGATTTCCCAAATGAACAAATAATAGCTGGCTGGAGAACACGGTGATGCTTGGTGTCTTAATCAAAACCAAGTTGCTCTCATCTCATCAAAATTAAAGGGTGTTTCATCATGTCTTTATTCTCATGGAGCTTCCCTGTAAAAAGGATGAAAAAGGCTCCCACATATTTGTATATTTGATTACGGTGATTCCCCAGATTGGATTCACCCTGGCTCTAAACAATGTTTAATGGTGCATGGAAAATTTTGGTGGTTCGTAAGAGAAGCTATTCTGGGCAAGAAAATTAATAACACAAGAAATACTCTATGCCTGAGATCCACTGCACTGAATGTTTATGCTATGACAGTGTTCAAATTCTAAGGAGTGCCAGGAAATGCAGGGGGTAGGGAGGGGGGAGATACAGCAAACTTGATGTTGCTTTCATTCTTCTATATTAATTTTCACATAAAATTGCAATTAGCAAGGGCTCTTAGTTAAGTAACATTCCCTATAGAAGAAAATGCCTAAATTGCCAATCTCAACACTTAAAAGTCTTTTTCTCTGAAAGCTTTGTAATCAAACCCATGAGTTATTACCTGCTTTGTAAGCATATTACCTACCTGCTACTGTAGTTTCATGTTTGTGTTCACAGTGGTATTTACCATAAATGTGTTAAATTAAGAGACACTAAAAAGAAAAAGGATTTAGCATGCATAGATATCAAACACAATCTATATAGATCATATAGATCCCAAATACGGTAAGGATAAGACCTGCTATTCTATTTACTTTAGTAAAATCTACAGCACATGAAATCCATTTGACTATATACTGACATGGTATGCAGAGAACTGTGAGGTTTTAGCTTGACTGGGGATTTTGGTGCTAGTATAAATAAAATTATTCACCACAGAAATCACAGAACTTACCAATGTTCTATTGGTGATGCTAGGGAACCAAATTGCATGAATTTAGTGAGGTTAAGAACTTTAATTTGGTAATGACCTATCTGAAAACGATAAACTTTGTAATCTGTGTTTTGTTCTCAGGCAGTATTGTACATTATAGTCCCCTTCCAGACTGTTTGGGTCCATACAGTCATGCTGAGCTGAAAACAGAATATTCAAATTGTAAAATCCCTTGGATTTTACAGCTTTCTTAACACAGGAAAAAAACATGTTCATCTCTACATTAAATGCAATAATCAATAATTTTCCTTTTTTTTTAAACTCAGTTTAGAAGCACATTCACACTGTACAAAGAAATAAAACATGAACAAGCACAGAATAAATGCTTTGTTGTTTATTAAAATACTACTAGCAGTACACTGGCCCTTTTATAATTCATTCAAGCCTACTGACTGCCACTACCCTTATTGTGTTAAGCAGTGAGTTTCTGCCACTGCACAATTTTCTGCCCAGCAGAAATCCCCTGGGCAGCCCTCAGATGGGCACTGTCGAGTCATCCCTGTCTCTCACTAGTCTCAGCTGTCACTCTGCTCTGCCTGCTTACACCAGCTGCAGGGCAGGTAGGTGACAGTGTGGTGTGACAGCAGCCCCGCCAGCCTCGCCTCAGTCGGATGGTTAAGCCTCTGCTTCATGCTCCAAAGCACTCCAATATTAAAGGCTGCATGAGGTAAGCTTGGACAAACTTCTCAAGAAAGGATTTTACTGAGAAGTTGCTTAGTATTTCCTTTGCGTAAGTATTGTTGTATCCACACGTAAAGAAAATTACAAGTGTTTTCAACTGGTTGAAAGTCAAAACCAGACTTTCATCATGGCACAAGAAAAATGCCAGCCACCACACAAGACTGCAGGCTTTCATACAGGCAAGCAGATCACTAGCAGCAGATCCCAGCAATGGCCATTAGTTCAGGGGGCTTCCAGAAACACGTTTTGAAGCAGCTAATCCCCGCAAGGAGCAGGGAGCTGGACTTGATGATATTTAGGAGTCCCTTTCAACTTGAGATATTCTATGATTCTATATTTATTTCACAATTCCTGATTTTGTAATATCTGGCAAATATGCAAACCCCTTCACTTGCATGGAGATTGAGTTTATAGCACTTCACTGAGTAACTCAGATTGGAAGGAACCTCAGGAGGTCTCTGTTTACTACATTCAGTTGGAGGATTTGGACTAGATTACATGAGTTCATGTGAACTGGAAGAAATAATTCGTCAGAAGTTTAGAAGCCAACTAAAAATAACAGATTATTGGCTAACGCCTTTCAGCCTTCTTTTGAAAAACCGTCTGTAATCACGGTTCTATCTGCTTTCAACAGTATTCTGCATTTGCAATTCCCTGTTAAATCAAATGGCTAACCCTGTGTAAGCAAGCAAAGTGTTCATCTTTCACATGATGTACAGAACCATTTGCTTTAGGACAACTCCAAGCAGATACTCATAGGAAGAATAACCTGTCAAAAGCATTTGACTAGCCACACTGAAGCTCAGGGAATGAATTTGCTCTTGCTAATCATGGTTTCATTCCCAGTTTAGAGTAGACTAGATATATCACAGCCTTAAGCCACGTAACCTTAAGGAGATAAAACACAAAGTTACATTCATATTTTGATTGAATGCCTGGTTGGCACCTTCTGTTATGTCAGAAAGACTCTGTTTCCTACAAAAGACCTCTGTCCCACTGATATTCTGGATGCCCACAACTGGCCTACCCAGCTGTTATTTTACGTAGAAGCCCCAAGCAAAAGTCTATCTTGTGCCTTTGAGCTGCACAGGAATGCAAAACCACTAGATTTTAGAATACCTTTACGTGATTCAATCTTGATATTAATGATTACTCATCCCTTGCAAAACCAGAAAGAGACAGAGACCTAAGGCAGATCACTAGGAGCCGCAGATACTAATCAGCTACATGGCCACACTGCCATCACTTATGACTGAGAATCTCAGTCTAAAAATACCGGTATCAAGAATCAAATGAATGGTTTTACATATCTAAAGAACAAAGCACCAGTTCAGAATAACGTTGCTATTTATAGGGCCGTGGAATAATACGCATGTACATTACAGATGTTCTTTCATTTCACAGATGTGATTTTATTCTGTTAGAGCCATCACGACTTATATTTAAGCTTAACAATATACAGAACAGATTTAAATGAAAATCAGAAGACATTTGCTTTACTCTTTATAAGGATCTCTCTATATATATTGACATAAAAAAATATTAGTTATGGTCAATACTAAAGTGGGTAATAGTGCATTACTGCAATGATAATCCTTATTACACTGACTTTGAAGAGCTATGAACAGAAATGAGTATTCTCTGTGTAAAACTACAAAAGAGCTTTAGCAGAAACTAAGGGCATAGACTATTGTGGCCATGCTATATCATGTATCCCCTGGCAGTTCATTGGATACTCGATTTTGCAAATCTTCAACATAACTTTTACAAAGGACTCTGACCACATCAAAAGCAGCATTTCACCCACAACTGAATAAAAAATGACTAAAAAAAAAAAAACCACAAAAACTGCTTTGAAAGAGAATAAAACTGCTTGTGAGATGTTTTCAAGAACAATCCACCACATGAATGCCTACCACAATGTAATATCCCTTTTTGCTCCCTATACTAAAGCACCAATAGGATTTGTCAGACAGATAGGAATACACTCCAGTAACAGACAAGGATAAAACCAAGTTTTAAGGATTCAATTTTAACAGGTTCTCTGGATGCTAACTGGAAATAACATGCAAATAGAACTTCATGCTAAATCTGTGACACACAATCTCTATGCAAATACTAAATATTCTTCCTAATCCTGTTTTTTCTAACTTTTAAATGTTCATAAAGAAAACAGCACAAAGGGAGATATTTGTCTCTTCTGGGTTATTTTTGCCTCCAAACAATACTGTACACATTTTGGAGATCATTGTTCCCACCAGTTGAGGTCACTTTTCACTAGTGTAAGTGGAAGAACGGCGCATCAGCAACAAAAATGTAGTAACCCTTCCTATTATGCAAATGCTTCCGTTCACCTTGGTGCTGGAATAAAAACACCTACAGAGTGCTTTACAGAATGAGCTAGAGCAAATTTAACCTGAAGAGTTCAGAACATTTGGAGGCATTTTTGAAACAGTGTCACTGTATAATGGAAGATAGCGACTCTCCAGCTAGATCCTGACTACAGATGTAATATGTCTAATCAGTCGGTGGATTGGTACACAAACCCTTCTGCTCTTCAGCTACAGTGGATACAAACTGTGCTGTTAAACCTGAGATTTTCTGTTTGACCTTGCAGCACTACCAGGTTGCTTTTTAATCCTGAGTTATTGGGAAAAACAGTTATCTTTTCATTCAATTAAACAGCCATTGTAAAGTGGCTGGCCTCCACTAGAGGCTACTGAGTTTAGAATCATCACTAGATCACAGTTTAAACCATGATACAAATTTGCTAAGACATTCTGGAATACTAAAGTTTCATGCTTAATCCTACTCAAGTTCCCAAATTCTTCAAGTCACCCAAACTACAAGCTAAAAAAAGCAGACTTTTTTTTTTTTTCTGTTCATTTGTTTAGCGTAACACAAATGATCCTGCAGAGAGACATAAAACACTCCACCTGGCCCTCAGCTCATGCAGACCACTCACTGCCCACTTCTTCACCTGAAAAAGACTGTAAATAAACAAACCTGTTTGGCCAACTGATCCTTCTTCACCAAGCCAGTGGCTGCAGCGATGTTCCCTGCTCCTTCCACTGTCTTCTGGGCCACTGCTGTCACTCCTGTCACCACAGCTCCCCCAACATTAGACACTTGCTCTTTGGTCTTCTCAGCCACTGAGAAGAAACAGTTAATGGAAAAACATATTATGGCTCTGGGAGCTGTAAGGTTTTCAGAGTATTTTATTTATCACTGACAGTCCAACATCATGAAAAGCCATAAGGCCATTACATTTTCTGTACCCCAAGTGGATCTTTAGAAATTAAACTATCCAATTGATAACACTGGAGCAGCAGAGGTAAAAATAAACCTTATTTGTGCCCCAATTTCTTTTATGTTAAAGACATTTGACATTTTTCATTCATGTCTAGCTGTACTTTAGGGAAGAAAAGTCATCATTTAAGGGCCCTTATTATGTTCAACTCACTGTGTCATATATGCCAGTTTGATAATAGTCCACCAAACACTTGCTGCATTGTACAGGGCATGGAAGATTTCTTTTGTTAGACTCAAAAGCATTGATTATTCTTTTTATTTTCATTTTAAGAAAATATTTAATTAAAAAGCAGATCTACCAATGCTCAACCAGAGAATTTCAAAGACAATCTTTCATCAGACTCCACAGAGATTTTTGCCCTGATGTTGATACATAAAATAGTAATCTACAAAAAGACTGAATGCCAAAGATGCCAAAGCAAACTGGATTAATAGCTAACTTCCAAGCCCCAGGGAAACAATAACTCATTTTGCCTACATATACATCAGCAGTTGCCATTCTACCTTTCAGAATATTACTGGGTTCTTCCTGCTCATTCATTCCCAAGGGCTCTTTCTGACAGCAGCTTGAACTAAGAAAAGGGATGGAATGACTTCATGCCTTAAAGTTATGCAGCCAGATTTTCAGTAAAAAACACATTTACTCATCTAAAGAAAGGACTGTTCTTCAAAAGCACCCTTATATTTTTGCAAGTCTAACTAATCCTGTATTTTCCTCCGGGATAAATTCCCTCTGATCCATAAAACGTATTTGTAGCTTTATCTGCACCCTATTTGAGCACAGCCTGGATTCTGCTTGGCAGTTAGGCTACCCTTTCTGAGTCTTTTTTGGGGGAACCACATGCAAAAATTAGACTTTCTGTGGATAAATTACATTTCTTTAATTTCTTGCATAAAGAGTATTAGCTGTCCACATCACAGGGTAGAAAGAATACATTGCTATGATTGACCTTAAAAACAACAATTAGGAGAAAGCTACAAAGATAAACAATGCATTTTTTATTAAATGCCCAAATAATAAATATCTGCTACCTGAAAAAGGACACAGATAATTTAATGCTCATTCTAACTAAGTGAAAGGGAAAAGTTAGTAACCAATTGAGTATTATCTCTATTATGACCATGAGGTTTCATTATAGAGCAGGACAACAACAGATTATACGCTGGCTGAAACTAGAAACAGAGGAAGTCTGTTCCACAACTATACATGCTAATAAGAAAAAAAAAAATCACAAGAAATTCTACTGCATACATCCACTACTCTACTGCCATGCTTTTCTAGAAAAAAAAAAAAATTCATCAAAAATGTTTTCTGCTGTAAAGCAAATGCTGCCCTTAGGGAAGGTTTGACTTAATGCTAGTAAGTGAAAGACATCTGTTAAGATGCCCCACTTGACTATTACCAGCTACAGACTACAAAAAGCTCTGGATTCTACCCATAACTAGTTCTTGTAAACATGTATCTTAAGATGTGTGTCCTAGTAACACATCGTATCTTGCAAAGAATGCTAACACCTGATTTTATATGGAGTCTTTCAGAAACAAGCTGAGAAACATTATGAGACAGACACTCTGTATTGCTTTCAATATTATTTCAAATAGCAGAAAGAAACCTCAAACAGAGATGTAAAATAAAGTGGTATCTTGCAGAAGTAGGTGTAAAAATTATATTCTCCAAGAAATACTAAAAAAAAAAAAAAAAAAAAAAAAAAAAAAAAAAAAAAAAAAAAAAAAAAAAAAAAAAAAAGAGACAGAGATGTGTTTTGGCTATATTTCAGTACTGCTTTTCAATTTTCCTCTGTCTCACTCATTTGTTGGAAGAGATCTTGGGCTGCATCAAAAGTGTGACCAGCAGGTCAAGAGGGGTGATTCTGCCTCTCTTGTGACAACCCACATGGAGTGCTGTGTCCACCTCTAGGGCTCTGACACAGGAAGGACATAGATCTGTTGGAGAGAGTCCAGAGGAGGGCCACAAAGATGATTAAGAAGGATTTAGACCTCTCTTATGAGGAAAGGTTTAGAAAATTGGGACTGTTCAGCTTGGAAGAGAGAAGGTTCTAGGGAGACCTTGTAGCAGCATTCCAGCACCTAACAGGAGCCTATAAGAAAGATGAAGAGGGACTTTTTGCAAGGGCATGCAGTGACAGGACAAGGGGGAATGGCTTCAAACTAGATTAGACATAAGGATTAGACATAAGGAAGAAATTCTTTACTGTGAAGATGATGAGGCACTGGAACAGGTTGCCCAGAGAAGTTGCAGATGCCTCATCCCTGGAAATGTTCAAGGCCAGGTTGGATGGGGATATGAACAACCTGGTCTAGTGGAAGGTGTCCCTGCCCATAGCAGGGGGTTGGAACTAAATGATCTTTAAGGTCCCTTCCAACCCAAACCAGTCTATGACTCATTCTATGATTCCATAAATCTGGGTCCTTTTGTTCTGTTCATTTTTTTTGTTTCTATGGAAGTGACATACACTTTTTTGAAAACTCCCTTTTCCAAAACATGTTGAGTGGCAGAACATATAAAGGACAAATTCAGCAGGCTCAATGCTGACAAAGGATCATATGCTCAGTTGCCCTTAAGCAGACTCATCCCTTCTGATAAAATGATAACAGCACAGTTGCACCATGTTCCTTGCCAACAGTCATAACCAGTTTCATTATCTCAATCTCTTAAAAAAACTGCACCTCAAAAGCAAAATATCAAGAAATAGAGTGGATTTGAGAGCACTGTGGATGCTTCAGTAGAGAACACCTAATTCCTGATGCCATTATTAAAGCCACATTTCTTATACTATGTTGTCATGGTAAGTACAACCACCTACCAAGCGCAACTATCCAGTGGCTGCTATTCCCACTACTAGACTGTTTTGGAAAAGCTCTGCCTGAAGTCTGTTTTCTCCTCCCAGAAACATATTACCCTAGGAAAGGCTTAGTACATGCAAAGTAAAATCAAAAAGGAAAGAATCAGGCCACTAACACTGTTAATGGCACAGCAGTAAGATGCTGATAAAAATAGTAATAAAAGCGGTATATTTAAGATTGCCTCTATTTCAGACTGTTTTGTGATATAACCCCAGCTGGCAACTACCCAACACACAGCTGCTCTTCCTCCCCCAGCAGGACAGAGGGGAAGAGAAATGGATGGGTAAAAGTAAGAAAACTTGTGGGCTAAGTACAGTTTAATTAAAATAAAATAATATGAACAAATTGTAATAAAAAGGAAAATAATAAAGAGAGAAAGCGACATGAAGCCCAAGAAACACAAATGATGCAAAATAAAACAATTGCTTACCACCAAGCAACTGATGCCCAGCCAGTCCCTGAGCAGCTGCCCCCCACCAACCTTGCCCCTAGTTTTATCGCTGAGCATGATGCCATATGGTATAGAATATCCCTCTGGTCAGCTGGGGCCAGCTGTCCTGGTTATGTCTCCTCCAACTCCTCGTGCACCCCCTGCCACCTCACTGGTGAAAAGGAGAAAAAACCTTGACACTGTGTAAGCACTGCTCAGCAGTAACTAAAACATCCCTGTGTTATCAGCACTATCAAACACTGTTTCCAGCACAAATCCAAAACAGCCCCATACCAGCCACTATGAAGAAAACTAACTCTATCCCAGCCCAAACCCACACACAGACATAGCATGAGAAAGCTGACACGGGACTTATCATGAAAGATCTCTCATACACTGCTTCAGAAATTGGAGCACCCAAATATCATTGAAGTCACCAGAGTGACTCTGAAAATTAGCTTCAGCCTAGTGACCCTCCAGCTTTGAAACCCCAGTGACAGGAGAAGAAAAACCAACATAGGTTTCCAGTCATACGTATTTTATTGCCTAAATTAAGTAGTAAGCAGGGGAAAGTATTAACTGTGCACAAACAAATCAGTTCAGAATGCAGGGGGTTGATTCCAACTAATTAAATTAATCTGAATACCAGGTTGTTTAATGATCTTAAGCCCTTAAGTCTCTGTAGAGTTGATACCTGATTTGCATCACAGTGTTGAGAAACAGAGTAAATCAGCTTCTGCGGAGCTCTGCTGTGCTCTGGCCTGATTACTTCCGTCTATACAGAGACTGTCCATTCCATTAAATGACCCTGGGAAGATGTACAATGACCATGCCGAGGCTAACTTTGAGTTTGGAGTTCTAACACTTACTACAGCACCGTGCAAAAAATATTTGCATTGAAGCTTTCTTTTCCCTGCTTATTATAGGCACCTGGTTACCATACAATATCATTGTGAAACCTTTGGCATAATTCAAAATGATAACTAGTTGCTTTCAACTTTGAACAATAAAAGTATATGAAAACGAGGGCATTTCTCTGAATTTATTCTTACTGCACTAAATATATTTTTGAATATGTATTTCAGACAATAAGTTAGTCTTAAGTACTTGAAGAATTCATTTACAAGGATGCCATAAATACATTGGGGGTCATTTAATTTATGCAATTTTTCTGTAAGATACCTGATAGAGTTGAAATAAACACAGCAGTTATACCAAAGACTAAGAATGTTAAGAAAAACAAGAATGATCAGATAAAATAATTCAGCAAAATGCTTGACTTTGGTTCATAACTTGCTATTGTGTCTTCACTCAGGAAAGAGACACATGGTTGAAGGACCATGGGCTTTTTGGCCCTGATCTATTTATAAACAGTGCTTTATTCTGAATATCAGGAGATGGATTGTAAATATTTTATGTTTGATACTGTTCTGGACATTTATCCCTGGGAGATAAGCAAGATAGATTAATTATGCATTTACAGTCAAAGGTCAGTAGACATGCTAATTAGGAAGGCAAGTCTAAACACAAGAAACCACCCCATAAAACTAATAAGCAAAGCTGCTTCATCTTCAGAAGTTCTGAGAAAGAGTGACTTCACAAATAACTCTCACCATATTCCTGTGAAGCACATCCTGGTATCCTCATTTCACAATGTCTTTATGCCACTAAACATGGTACAGTCAGGTCACATTTAAAGTAATAAACACCTCAAGTGTGCAAAGTAATTGACCAAAGAGTGTATTTAGTTTTTATGGCTCTTTGAGGTGTATCAGATCACAGTCATTTCACCAGCATAGGGTTTCAAACCACTAACTATTCAAAACTAGCAAAACTAGCAAGATTTTTGAACTCGGACAGTAAGAAAGTACTAACTGCACAACTGTGAACACACTTATTTTGATCTGTGATTCTAGTTTGCATTTGACTGTCTCCAACGTCTTGAACCTTTTTTATTTACATAACAAAAGGTTTATTTCACCTCAGGTTTCACTGACGCATTGAGGAGTTAATATGCTAAGATGACCAGAACTTGTTAACTCCCAGTTCTATGAAGAGAGACAAGTAGATCTTTACAAGTGCCTTTAAGGGCAGTCTTGTTGCATCAACCTGAATAGCACTGATTTAAAGGAATCTGATTTCTACAGTAACTTCACTGGCATTTCTCAGTGTCTTCAAGTTATACCTCCTAGTATCACTACACTGAGACCAAATCTGTTTTCATCTACCTTCTCTGTTGGCCAGAACAACTCTTTATAGACTTACAATTAGTTTTTTTCCTAAAGTATGACCCAAGCAATTTCTCTGTTCTTATACTACTGTTTCATTTTGGACACCATGCTCTCTAGATTTTGCCTGAAGTCTCCTTAGGGCCACACTTCAAACTGAACACCCTCTATTTTCCATTTTCCTTCAACAGCCAAACTCATCTCAAACAGTTGAACAAGCCAGAAGGAAGAAAACTGTGGCACAAACCCATTACTCCCAAGCTTTGGGTGTTTAACTTTGTGACACCCATTTCATAAAGTGCATGAGGAACAACCACTGTTTTGTCTAAAATCGACAGTAACTTTTCCAAATTTTCTATCCACAGGCACAGCAAGTAACAGATGTGTTCTACTCATGTTTGGCTTTACAGTCTGTTTTGTTCTTTCCAGAACAAAATTTAACATTTTTTCAAACCTGTCAAAAATTCTATTAATTTACTTAAAATTTCCTGTCTCACTAAACATATTGCAATCAGATAATGAAAGATACTCACAGTGTTTTGAGATCAGTAGTTTCTTTGGGGAGACAGGAAAGATGTTCCCTACTGAGCTAGCCTATTTGAGTCCTATTGCTTCAGCACATTTCATCCATGTGCAAATGCCCTTGACCTGGATTCTACCACAGCCCAGCTTGGTGTACATCACCTCTATTAACTTGCTTGGAACTACTGTCAGTTGCCGTCCCCACCTCTGTGATATCAGATATTTGTACCTCAAATCTCCTTCTACTGCAATCCTCTACTGGTTGAAGTAATGATCCCTTCGAATATTTCTCTTAATTTAGGTCTAACAAGCTGAGATTTCAAACCTCATAACAACAGCACGCATGATCAGCCAGAGGCTAAACTCTGAAGGACTATCTTAGATGTTCTCTTCAGTGCTGTTACTATAAAAATTCTTATCTGACTTTTCAACCATTTACATGCATTGTGATATTAAGTACTGACATTTTTTTATGTACCACTGTTTATCCTTTGCACTGGCTTATGTGAGCACACATGAATGAAACGTTGGCTTTACATGAAGAAAAACAAAATCCTTTTCTATCGTATTTCTTTTCTCATTTCTTTGGGGAAAAACAACTTAATATTTTTGACCATGCATTTTCCTCACATCTGCAGAAGTCTCATAGCCTACAGCAGAAAATTACACATTCTTTTCAGTGCACTATGGTCAGCTAAGGTTTTCCTGCACTTTGTAGATATCAAAGACTTCCATTCACTGTGCCCCTTAAAAAAAATTATTTGTTACTGGTTTCAGTTCATACCTAAAATGATCCCTGCAAATCAATTTAAAATTCAAATTTACTCCTTATTGGTGTAGAAATGCTATTGTGAATATACATGCCTGGCATTAATTACAAAGTCTGAAAGCAGTCTTGCTACTGGAAGATTAGGTAGTTCTAAAAAACATCTCAAAACACTCTTAACTGTGACAAATTCAAATCAGTTGATCAAAACTCTGAAATTTGTTTCTTTCCTATAAGCCATTTCTCTTCAATCATCCCACCCAAACAGCTCTCTCAATTTTCTCGTGTTTTTCTATCTGTCATAAATTGTAGTGCTCTCAAAACCAATTTTTAACAGGTAAACAGTTGATTCATCAAATGTAGAGAAGAAGCTGAAATTGAGAGATAATCGTCTTACCTGTTGTGACACCATGAACAACTCCTTCCTTGGTCCTGGAACCTAAAAACAGAACAGTATTAGGCCGAAAGTGCATATTCTTAAGTACTGGTAAAGACTAGGCGGATGATAAAGAGGGATTAGTATACAGATTCCACACAGTTTCATACAGTATTTTTTAAGGTTATTAAAAGAAATTAAACAGGAATTTAATCTAAGGGAAGAGGTAAAACCATCAATAAAGAACAACTGCCTGGATACATACTGACTGTGGAAAGCTGAGTAACACTGGAAACACTTCTGCAGTTTATTTCTTGTACATGCTGACTTCCTTGCCATTTTCCTAACAGCTGTATTAAGCCTCTCAGTTTGCAAACTCACAGAAACCGTGTTAATATTCACATCCTAAGGAGGCTCTTGCATGCATTTGGGGAAGATCAGAGCCACAGATCCCAGAAGACTCTTACAATTTCATCTTGCAACACCTGGCCAGATCTCAGTTTGCAAGGGTTGACAACCATTACCGAACTACAGAAAGACCCAGAGGTTAAAATCATGGAGTGCTGGTAGTGCTAGCCAGATGCAGACATAAATTAATCCAAAAGAGAAACCTTAAATAGTAGATAGGATTTAAATATGAAAAAGACACTGAAACCAAACTCAAGGTCTTTTGCATCTGTTGTCCTCATTGTCACAGGCACATGTGACAACTCACATATGACTCGCAGGCAGCAACCTAGAACTTGTACTAGATTGAGTCATAACTCAAGACCTGTGAAAGTAATGTAACTGTCATCCTGAAGACCAAACGGATTTTTGGAACAGCCATGTAAAAAAGATCTCAACTCTTTACCATGATGCATCAAAGGGAAGAATTGCTTGTGTTTTCAATGGGAGGAGAAACAAATTAGCACATACTGCTGTTTAAAATCTACCTCCATGCCTTTTTCCCTACCAGTCCCCTACTTGTCCTTGTCAGGTTTTAGAATTTGGTTACATTTCAGGGATTAGTATTCATCTGCGGACTTCGCTGCTTAACAATGTGCAATTAAGCATTACAATGACAGAGTCTGTGGCTCCTAGCTAATCATCTTACCTAGTCTGCCAGAGATAGGATGACTTTTTTTTATTAGCAACACAGAATTACCTTATTTGTAACGCAATTTTTTCGTCTCTGTCATTCAGTATTTGAGACATTATAATTTATATTTCTGACTTTTAGCTTAACCCTATAAATATCATGGTCAAACTGATATAAGTAGAAATATACTAGAGGAAAATGCATGAGCAGAAAAATGTTAGAAGAAAGAAGCTTATTGTTACAATAATACAATTAAACACTGAAATAAAATATAAATTCACTCATCAACATGTCCTACTGGCTACTAGTGCCAATTTATGGAATTTTAGACATCTATTCATGGCAGTATTAGATTGATTACAGCATTGAAAAGGCTCTTTTACCCATGAGCAAGAGCAGAATAATAATCTAGAACAAATAAAAGGGAAAAAAATACTGCATCAAGTAAAATGACATGCTCCTTCAGCTAGCTAATGATGAGGTTAAACAGCTGAGAAGTCTTTTTTTCCCTTTATTCTAACTTTCTCTTTAAAAAAAGGTTGTTTTTTCTTACTGAAAACATTTACCATTGAAAATCATAAATTTCATTAAATGCAAGGTGTTAATGTCTAAAGACTTGTTTTAGGACTTGGGTTCTCAATCTTGTGGTACCATGCGACCTGAAAAAGCAGGGCACTTTGAACACATGCTGGAATCCAAGTCAGTGACAGTTCTGACTTCTAGAAAGAGACTAAACACACTGCAGGCTTATAGTTTCTATTGGAATACCTAATATTAAGCATATGCTTTTAGGTGCCTTGTTAGACCCGGTCAGTATCTCATTCATCTTGTTGAACTGGCAGTCTGCAAGCCAAGCTATTAAAGACATGGAAACCTGTGAATTACCAAGTACTCAGTTCCCTGAGGCCAGTAAGAGATGGATGGTACGACAGAACTCCCTGAGGACCTCTGCAATGCATACAGCTCCTGAGGGACCCATGTAAGCTGATTTCACTTCACTTGCCCTGACGTGAAGCTGCTATAACCACAACTCATAAAGGAATGCTCTGTTAGTGGAAGACAGGCTTTTCTTTAATGAAAACTCGGTTCACAGATCCCTACAGAACAGGGATATGTATAGCCAAACCCATTAATTGGCAAACAACCAGCTAGTTGGTGTTCCAGATCTTACAGCATATGTTAGAGCTCAATACTACTTGCCCCACTACTGCACACTTGCATGCAAATTGCTGTTTCTGTCATCACAGCTACAACAGCATCTAGAATTGCATTAGGAGCCGCCAGAACAGGCCTATAAATAACAACAGCTTAATTCAGTAGGATGACTTCTGGCTGGCCATGAAGGAAAGCTGGTCGTCCACACTGTATTTGAGAGAAATTACCTGTCTTTCATTCTGACATTCCCAAAACATCAACAGTCTTGCTTGTTGTATCCTACATAACAAGGGGAATCAGAGCAGGGATAATATAAAGACCAAGAAACCTAAGTCTAACCTAAACTACTTAGAAGCAATAGTAGTACATGGTAATGCTTTTTTTTCTGAGCTGTAGTACACATTTGTGTGAAAGGAGGGAGAAGCCAAAACAGATTTCTGCCTTTTTGCAATTACAAAAAGTACCACAGACTCTCTTCATAATTTATTATCATCACTGTCATTATGCCAAAAAGAAACACACTCATTTCTGGACTATTTGAGAGACCAACAGACTATTCACCTTGCTTAATCAGAGCTGGTTAAAGACAGGTAGACATAAACTCAAATTAGGGGAAGAAGACACTGACATCTAAGGAAAACAGTTGCTTCCAAGTCCTGAAGCCCATTATTCCACCAACCAGATCTTCAATCTCTCGACTACTCTGCTGGCTTTTCTACAACCGAAGGAAAACAAGAGACCTCGTCAAAAGAGAGTGCAGCAGAAGAAGTGGGATGGTCTTGCCAAATAGGTCACGACTGCACTGTTCTACTCTACGGCCATGTGCAAGCACAGGGAGTAGTAAACAACTCATCTGTTAGCAACCCTGCAGCTGTTGAACTATTCCTTTGTTGTGCTAGTGTATGACACACCAAAAAGGGACTGGAAACTTCCATTCCTGTGCACTGAATGTGCACTGAAAAGTCAACTGAGCAAAATCTTCAGCTCACTAGTATCACACAGAAAGCTCAAGATCAGAAAGATCTTGAACACCACATCACTGAGTGCATGCAAATGCATTCTTCTTACTCTCAGTTCCTGTTTCAAAGTGAGTGGGGGTAAGTATTGCCACTCATTTCCTCACTGCTTCGCACCAACAGCTCTTAAAGGATACAGAGAGACCCAGTTTTAAATTTACAGCAAACTCAAGCAGCACAGGACTGCTGAGCCTCAGTCCTCCTTTCTAAACAATGATCAGGCCCTTGTTTAACATCAAGAAAGGTCCTGATGCTGAACTTGTATGAGTCAAGACAAAGCCACCGATTTCAGCTGGCCAATGCTGAAGCCCATCAGCAGAGGAATTTGATGGGAAAAAAACCCAAAAAACAATACTGAAAGCATAAAAATACATTGTAGAGTGTATTGAGGAGTATCTTGGGTACATAAAAGGAGGACAAAGACAGTGAACTGAGGGAAGAAAAAAGACACTTCATCATGGACAGGGAAAAAATCCCCGGTTAATCCTTTACCAGGTAGAATTATGTTATGATCTTTCACATAATAGTTAACATCTGGACAGCAAGGCCCAGATGGTTTCCATATTTACTTAAATTCCACTGATTCAAGTGGGAGACCATACCATCTAGGGCATCTGGACCAAAGACTTTGTATCTTCTTAATCCTCCAGCAGCAACTGAAGGCTGAATGTTATGAAACTCAACATGTCCCTCTCAGCCCAGTGTTGTTAGGTTCTTCTTTACAAGATGTCAGGCAGCTTTTACAGTACGATCTGGCTGTGAAACTCAAACCTGAAAACCCCATGATAAAGGGAGGGAGAAATCTTCAGGAGCTCTAGTGCATTGTGCTGCTCCTCTCCTCTTCTCATAAAGGGCTTTCACCACCTTTTGCACTGCAACCATTACCAGCCTACAGAGCCAGAGATTATCACACTGGGCTTTGCTCACGCTGCATAGGAGAAGAGCCACCTCTCCTGTGTGCTTGGCACACAACTGCACAGGAGCTGCCAAAGCTCCTGGAGACAGCTCCCAACCAAAGGCATTTTTACCTGCACAACAAACTGTGCATACAACTCCTTCCTCCTGAAAAGAAGGCATCTGGTACGAGAAGGATCTTCTGCCATTTCTGCAGTCACAGGCACAGGTCCCTATCATGGCTCAGGACTCTGCTGTCCTCAGTAATTCATTCCTGAAATAAATAGCAAGCCTACCCTCCAAAGTTCAACCTCAGCAAAAGCGTCTCTGAAGTCAACAGGAAATCTGTTGCCTTTGGGAGCAGAACTAGGTTCAAATATTATTACGGTTTGGAGAACAGGTCAAACACAAAGATTAATTCAGCACACTGTGGAGGTTTCCAATACAAAGAAATCAATGACCCCAGAAGCATGGTCAGCACCACAAGAAAACAAAATAAAAGCAAGCCCCACCCCTGAAAAATGACTCCAACATCAAGCACAATATACAGTGAGAGAACATCTATTTTGATATCCTGAAAATGAGCAGATGCTCATTTTAAAATAGACTCATCTTACAATTAGTGTTCAAAATAACTGCCATCCCTGTTGGCAAGAGCACTGAGCTTTGCTACGGTTCAAAATGAGAGAAGTATATTCCAAATGAGTAGTCCACACTATCTGGAGCAGAAATAATTTCTCACAGACTGGCACTAGCCTGCAAGAGTGGAGGGAATCCTAAAAAGACACTGGAATTGCAGCAATCTCAGTGCTCCCATTGAAAAGAAATGCCTCTGGTTTTCAGCTCTGTTTAACTTCTCTCTGCTATGCGTGCGCATCTCCCTTGGTACACACAGCATCCATTACAGAGCTGAACCGCTACAAAATCAGCAAAACAGAAAGGACCTACAGAAAAGGGTATTCTTTCCCCCTCCTTTATATTATGCACTAACTTTATCTGATAAATAAGAGAAACAGACCCATGATTACTTTTTTTTAAAATAACCACTTACTCATATAGTCTTGGCAGATTATTTTTCTGTGAATTTTTCATGGTAGCACTTGCAAGACAGTCCTCTAAAGCCCCATACTTGCTAAAATGAAGATGACTATCATGCATAAAACTACCAATCTGGGATTTGAAAAGAATTTTATCCCTGGCTCTATGCAAGACTTTTGTGTCCTAGAATGAGACACTTAATAACTGCTTTGCTACCTTGGGGTCTACCTGCTATTAACTGTAGTTGTTCTTCTTGGAGAAGTCACAGAAATGCTAGGAATTTGCAATAGTAAGTACAGAATATGAAGTTAACTTCAAACGATGAGGAGATGACACTTTGCCATACAAAACATTACTGTCAACATGCCAATCAGGCAGTCTGTCTAATCCTCAGTTCCTGAATTAACCTCTCAAATGTCTTTTCTTAAAATCCTATTTAAACCCCACATTCTGTAGAGTGCTGTCAAGTTACCTTCCACTTCAGCTTTTACATTTTTTTAAAATTTATTTTTACTATACCAACTACCCCTTCAGCCTTAACGTAGGAAACTTCTTGAACAGAATAACCAGCCAGTGACCTGTACTGCAAGGCACCTCCCGTGACACAGCCTCGTTCAGTCTGGTGTTGCAGATGTGGCTCCACAGAGCAGTAGCCATGTGGCCAGCATGTGACATAAGAACCAACACTTGGTTTTAAAGAACTGGAGCTCAGGAGGCACAACTCTCCTCTTGTTTGTTTTGCAATGGTCTCCTATGAGTGATCAGGGATTTTTTTTTCAGAATACTAGGTCTGACGAGGATCCAGCTGTGAATGTCTGTGTAAACCAACCGGCAGTGTGGTCTCCGCTGCCCACCTACCCACATAGAGGACTCCCTCTTTCGTCTTTCCTGCCGCCTCTGCCACACCCTGCTTGGTTTTTTCTGCTGCTGCTACGACTCCCTCCTTTGCCTTGGAAAGTCCTTTCATGAACACATCCATGGCTGAAGACTTTCTTCACACAGCTCTAGAGAAAAAAAAAAAAAAAAAAGACAGTACACTTTCAATATGAATTTTTAAGTCTTTTATCCCAGAAAGGTGGAAAAAAAATATTCCAACTGAATGGAAACACAATTACTGAAAAAATTACATTATTTATACCTCCATATTATGTAGCTATAGGAAACAGAAATCCTGTTTCCAGAGAATCCTAAGAGAGGTTGCCAATAATGCAGTACTGGTTGGAAGGTGGATTCATTGATACAAGTCCCTTCCTTGTCTACCAAGGCATCATTTCTTCCAAAGGACAGTTCTGTTTATGTGCTGATTGCAAGATTTAGCCCTGCGATTTAATGTTACTCCACCTCTCATAGAGAAAAAAAAACAGCTTAAAAAAACCACCAGCAACTTAAACATCCCCAAACAAAAAGACCAACCTGCAAAACAAACCACATGAACCAAAATCCCTCCTGAATGACAAATGTTCACTTGTTGGAGGAAACTGCCATTACAACCCAGAAGGACTGGAGCAAACAGAAAATGCTGCTTTTCCAGTTGTTCAGCATTCTGCACACAGTCCACGTCCCTCTTCTGGAAATCGAGCTTTCCTGAATGGGTTCCTTGCATGCATCAGGACTGAGAACAGATTTTACTAAAAAGCAGAAGCAAGAACACAGGATCTTAAAAGCACTGCACTAAAGCTACCAAGTGAGCTCTGTGGCAGCTATGCCGTGCAGCGCTACACTGAAACCACTAAAATAGTAATTAAAACCAAGAATTAGTGTCCCTTCAACAAATCCATTATCCAGACTCCTTTCTCTTCCTCCACCCACACAGACAGAAGTGCTGCCTATTATCTTCTCTTCTTTGCCAGAGCCTGAGTAGGAGGAATGGATGTCTAGGAAGGCATCTGGGCTGTCGCAGCTTTCTACTAACTCGTGACAAGCGTGTGAAGAAAGGCAGTGTTTGTGCTCCAGCCAAACTGCCTACAGTACCTGTCACCCTGGGGATGGCAAAGGGGGATACTTTATGCAGAGAGATGGGGGAGGCAGGACCCAGCCCGCATGTCCCTCTGGCTTCTCCATCGAGGGTGTCTCCAAACCCGTCCCCAGGGCAGCACCGCGACCACAGGTGTGGGGGCACCCTGGGGACCGCGGGCGTGCAGCACCGGGGTGTGTCACACAGCACACAGGCACCTGCAGAGGGAGGGAGGGAGGGAGGGAGGGAGGGAGGGAGGGAGAGGGCAGGGCGCCGTGCCCATACAGGTGTGCAAACATACACACACACACATACATACATACATACATACACACAGAGAGGCACCTACCGAGCAAGGCAGGGCGGCGCGACCGTGTGGGGCACCCACGGGCTCCCGCGGACACGCCGTCGGCACAAGGCGGCCACGGCGCCCGGCTTCTCCTCCCTCCCCCGTGCCCACACGAGGACGTTCAACAGGAATATATATCTATATATAGAGATTAGATAGATAGATAGATAGATAGATAGATAGATAGATAGATAGATGGATGCATGGATAGATGGGTAGATGGATGGATAGATGTATAGATAGATGGATGGATAGATAGATGGATGCATGGATAGATTGATGGATAGATAGATAGATGAATAGACGGACAGATGGACGGACAGACAGATAGGTATTATATATATATAGATATAAATACATGTATATTCATACCCACATACGCGCATCCCGCACGGCTCCACAGATACAGCCCAGTCCCGGCAGCACCGACGCGCAGCGGAGCCGCTCCCCCCACGCCCAAGCCCGGAGTGGCCCCCGCGCCCCCTCCGCCCCCGGGGCCGGCGGCCGCCCCGCCCTGCCCCGCACTCACCACCGGGATCCTCCGCCACCGGCGAGCGACCCGACCCGTTCCGAGCAGGCGAGGGGCGGCGGGGGGAACGGGCAGGCGGCGGGCGAGGCGCGGAGAGGCCCGAGGGAAGCTGCCCCTGCTCAGCACATCCCGAGGTGGGGGGTCGGGCCGGCGCTGCTGGCACCACCCCCGGCGGCAGCCCCTCAGGCGGCGAGTGCTGGGGAGAGGCGAGGGCGGGGGGCGGGAGGATGCGCCGCGGGAGGGAGGGAGGGAGGGAGTGAGGAAGGAGGGAGGGGCGGAGGCTCACGCTGCGCTCCCTCCTGGCCCAGGCGCTGCCGGGGTTTGCGTGGACGGGCTGAGCTCCCCGCGCAGCATTCTGCGCCCACCTGCTCGCGTCCTCCGCGGCGGGGAGGTGAGAGGCTCGATCAGCTGGGAGCGCTTGTTCCATCGCCACAGATCCGGAGAGGAACGAGAGGTAAAAGGCAGACCAGGCGACTTGGACCCCGCTGGGACTCTGCGCACCCACCACGCGTTCCAAAGGCTGGACCACCACATCTTAGGTGAAACGTAAGGAAGCTGTTGATGGTGACTGCAGTACCCTCCTGTTTCACTTCACCGAAGCCTAGAAAATCTCCCCAAGCATCTAATTGCTTTTTCATCTACTTCCAAATCTTCGACCCTAAATGACTGCAGTTCAGTGTGACTGTCCTCACAAGATCCATGAGCCCAGCTTATTTTTAAGCATGGGAGGTGATGCTCTTAAAAGTGTAATTTTAGTCTATTGTAGACACACAAAAATTTTCAACCCAGATGAAGATCAGTATGGCCACTTGACTGACCCCTAGACCTCTACTGCACCACATACTCCATGGCCACAGCCACTCAGATCTTAAACAGATGCATAGAAGTCACTTTTGCCCTAGAAAGGGAAAGCTATCAAACTTCTCTATTTTGGTAACAGAATTTAGGCATGAAAAGCCAAGACCAGTGGGAGACAAGGCAGTAGAACAGATGGACCTTCAGCTTCAGTACATCAATTCAAATCCTGCAAGACCTACAGAAACAGTTTGGGTTTTATTGCACTCTGAAAGGAGAAACAGAACATGGTATAGATGAAATACAAGGCTCTGAGCTGCAAAGAGCATCTTTCATCCATCATCCCATGCAGACAGCTGATGCATCCCTGGCTTTATTTTCATTCTGAACACGTAGTGCAGAGTCTTCCTCTTGTCAGGTTTCTTCATAAGCCTTGATATTTCTGTACTCTTTGGTCAACTTTCTTTTGCCTCATTACACTAGTAGTTTTAATCAACCAAGCATTGAACAACAGATTTTATTTCTTTGTCTAAGAATGTGCAGAGTGACAGTACAAATCATTCCCTCATAATTCTGCCTTCAGGAAAACCTTAAAAAAAACTACATAAGGTAACTCATCTCATTCATCCCGTGCAGCACATTCATAGTTTGTAGTGCAAGAACTAGGTGTGATATTACTATATTCTCCCAATTTGGGGAGAGGAAAACAGGTATAGTTTCAGGCAGTAAATAGAATGTAATCAAAATCATATTATTTTCACATTTTGTTAACTGGCTCAGCAATTTAGGTATGTAAACTAGCTCACTGAAAGTCAGTCCTTCAATGACTTTCTGCTACCCTAGCCAGTAAACATAGACACCAAAATAGAATTAAAGCGAATATTACACTCCTTGTGTGTTATCTTCCACATTTAAACAAGACTTTTGTTTTTCTAGCATGCAAGTGACTGTGAGCGTGAAATGTTGCTTTTTATTATGCTGATATAAATCTGGATAGACTTATAGTATTTAATTATGTTAGCAATAACAGAGAATCCAGTATGATAAATAATCTTATACATTTACGGCTCTGCTTCCAAAAACTTTAGGAAGAAGAGCTCAGATGTTTCCAACTCCTAGCTTTTCCAAGGATTCTTTTTTTTTGCCTTATATTTATCAAAGGCAGGGATTATGTTCTGCTGTAAACAAAGTAACAGCCTGTCCATTGACAAAATCATGCAGCTAGGATTGGGGTGAAGGCAAGAGGGATTCAGTTGCCACAGCAGAAGTAAAGCTAAAAATTTCATCTGTAGTATTCAAAATAGCCAGCTATTAAATTCTCAATTAGAGGATAAGAGGCACAGTGAGGAAAAATGTAGAGCACAAATGTTGACACAAGAAATTCTTCATTCTGAAAATGGATGGGACTTAAGTGGAAAACAGAATTAAATATGATACAGAATCGGCATTGTATCTGCAAGGCAATTTCTATTTAAACTACATTATCTACAACAGCTGGTTGGGGTTTTTTTTGTAGGTTGTCTCTTCAGTACTATTAGTATTGCAGTAAGTTCTCCCCTGAAGCCTTTCCTGCCTGAAGAAGGGATAGTAGCAAGCAGATTGCCCACTGATCGCATTTAAAACAAATCTTTATTTAATGACACTGTTTACTTTGCAAGAGCAAAAATCAATTAAGTAGTAATAAAAACTCCCTCAATTCATCTTGCCTTGCAGGCTAACTTATTGGTTTAGTTGCTTGTGATCAAGTGCATCTACTTTATTAATATGAAAAGAAGAAATATAGAAAATTGAGCAATGTTGCAGAGTAAAACTGATCAGAATTAACTCCCTTTGGGTTAAAAAATTCTAATATAAAACTATTCATGTGGAAACACTGTATAAGTGTTCCCCTTGAACATAAGTGAGTTGACAGCTTTCTCCTGTTTATTCAAAGAGTGACTCACACAGGCTCCCTGTGTTACTGCTGAACTGATAGGTGATGTTACTCAGAAGAAAGATACCTTTAAAAACCTCAAAGCTGCAGTATGAAGGGAAGCTGTCTTAAAGTAGGCTATTGGTAACAGGTAACACTGATTATTCTGCTGGAGGATCTTTCTACTGACTGCAAATAATCTGAAAATGGTCTTAATTTGAGAAATACATTAACTGTGTGAAACTGCAATTTTTATACAAATATATTTTAGTCTTCGGATTTTTTACAAAACTGTGGACTGCTTCAGAGGCAACTAGGAGTTTTTTCTAGACTCTTGCATCACAATGTCTGCATTTCTGTTCTCATTCGTGTCCTTCTTTGGACCTTTGCTGTCATTACTGACTATGTTGTAACTACCTGTGTGTGTAGGCCGTTTCTGAGAACTCAAAAACATGCTCAATTTAAAAAAAAAAAAGATTAGGAAAGCCTCATCCTTGCTTATAGGTAAGCCTGAGATTTAGCAGACTATTAATACTTAGTGTGCTCCTAAATGTCATAATGTAACGCTCCAGAGCATACATAATGTTCCAGAATGTTTACTCAACTGAAAGTTAAGTACATGTATTAAAACCTTCATGCAATTAAGTCACAACTTACCATTTCAGAGTTAGTTTCCCACTGGAAGCATTCTATTTAATAATTTGAAATTAATATTCATTATTATGCAGCAGTTGCCATTTCCAGTTCATCCCTGTTCCAAAGATTTCTGCATGTGAACTGTTTTGATAGATTTAACTGAGTGCTGGCTGTGGGCTGGGTTGTTTGATGTCCACTATCATGCCCTGCAACCATTGCCAAGAGACACAAATAGAACTGAAGCAGGTTTGAAATTTAGATTGACGTTCTCGATGCCTTTGTGCATGGAGTCTTTCATCTCGGGTCAAAACCAGAGCACAAACAGAACATTTCATAGAGAGCACAGAGCCATAAAATGGTTTGAGTTGAAAGGGGCCTTAAAGATCAACTAGTGCTAGATAGAACTCCATGTGCAGACCTAGCTCCAGCCTCTACTCTCATTGCTTCTCCTCTGCTTCTGGTTTTACCTGCTTCTATCTGACATAATGTTCTTTCTCAGAAATCTCAGTTCCAGCTCTTGCATTTGACATAGTTAGATGAGACAACTGGTCTAGTCCTTCCTGTTCTCAGTTCGTGTCTGCACGTGGCACAACATGTACCATCTCATATCTGAGAACTACAGGTCAAGCCTCTTTCAGCTTTAGGCCAGAACATGTCCAGTGCAGGTGGAGGCATCAGAGCTCTAACCAAGGAAAAAGTGTATGGGTGGGAACCATGGAAGAAGGAGGGCTTCTTCCGTAAGTCTTAACATTTGAGCAAATTAGTCTAGAACTGAAAACATGTCTATAATAATTCATATCTCAACTGAGGTTGCTAAGCCTCAAATTCCTTCTGTCAAATATGAACAATAAAAACATTCTCATAAGAAAAGTTCACCAGAATATTTTAGCATAGGTAAAGCAGATTTTCTCCTCAAAATCTGTTCAGGCATAGCTCAGACATTTTAGGTGGTTTAGTGTATGTATATATGTATGTGTATATGTTCCAACTATGTCTCTGCCCATGCCAGTGGGATTGAAACTAAATGATCTTTAAGGTCTCTATCAACATAATTTATGCCATGATTCCATGTGTTTGCATAGGTCAATGAGAGGCAACATTTACAAAGTATATATATAAAAATGTTTTAATTGATACAGACATATATGCCAAAATACCATCTTGCAGGTATGTACACACACATGTACATATACATATATTTAAGGAAGATTTATGTCTCTCATTTGGTAGATTTCAGCTCAGATACACTAATCTTGACATTAATCACCAGATAGAAGGGTCTCACAGCTTTATACCACCTCTGTCAACAGACAAAGCCTACCAGTCTTTCATCTCTCTTACTTGCTGTCAAGGATGAAGTTACAGACCTATCACATCTTTCTTAAGCAGCGGTAACATTTAATTAATAATTAATCTGTCTGGGCTAGGAATTCAGTGCTGAAGGGCAAAGAAACTCTGCCTGTTTCACCTGGAACCTTAAGCAAAGCTGTGCTATGAAAAGCAACATCTTGAGTGCCAGGGAGGCCATCTGGCAGTATGTATCTGCTCTGAGACACCCAGTATGTCAGAAGAGACTGTCCTGAGGGTGCCTGGCAAAAATCAGCCTTGATTGTTCTTTAGGATGTTTCCTGTTACATAGCACTGATGTAAATGATTGTAAATGAAAGAAACAATCATCTTCCTCACATGTGATGCAACGGTGTTATCAGCATCTCATGTAACTGAAAATGCTAATGCTAGAAAAGTGGGAATCGTCACGCAGAGTCAGGTCTGATGCCTGTCTTGTCCCAAGGTCTGTTTGAGTGAGAGGTCAGCACCAGATTTCTCCAAGGTCAG